AACCATGTTTCAGGAACTGCAATCTTTTGAATGTCCCCGTTTACTGCCCTAAACCGAAGGGTCTACGTCAAAGAAAAAGCCTTGAAAGCCTTCCAGGAACAGGTGAATCAATGATTCAAATCTCTGGTTGCAATCAGCAGCATCATCATCAAGGTTCAGCTTGGATCTGCGGTCATATTACCGCACGCGCAAAGTACACACATCTGCAGTGGGATGAATGTATCCAAGGTAATTCGATGCAAAGCCAATAATGCGTGCTTTGATCGGAATCTTTCGAGGGGACAAGAAGAGTTTTTCATTAATCCTCGATCCTCTCTCAAGTTTCAACCGTTCTCGTACTTGACAATGAAACATTGATCCGATGGGTATCGGTGAAGAGGAAACAGTCGTTGCGTTGTGCTAGGTACCTCCTGTAGTGGCATCAGATCAGCAGCAAGCACCGATGCACCGCTGCCCAGTGCCCCTCTTCAACCCGCCAGCCGCACGCACAATTGGGGAGACCCCCAGCCCAGGAAAATACCCATCCTACCTTAATAGTATCGATGTCGCAAAGAGGCTCATCAGCCTACCTTGACCTTAGCACTCCTCTACCTTGTCTGCCATTGCCCACGCTTGCAGCCGGAGGGTGACGATCCCAGCCGTGTTGCGTTAGTTGATCCCTGCAGTCAACTGCACTTCCCTTCCCAGCTGTGAGTATTACGCGGTTCCGGCCCTCCATCAGCGAGCGAGTCTGTAGGGTAGAAGGGCACAGAGAGACAGACAAGAAGAGGAAAAGAGGAGGACTAGGGAGCAGCAACATTACAGTAGCAACAGCGGTACCGAGCCAGAGAATACTACTGGATTGAATGTTTGTGTGTGAGCGCTGCATTGCGTTGCCTTGCCTTACATTTACCTTGCTGGAAACAAACCGTCGAAATTTAGAGTAGCGGAGGGCACGCCGTTCTTAGCTGCATCGGTAGTCTGCGATCCGCTGCCGCTGCGTTGTTTGTCGGTATCTGTTTTGTTCATTATTGTCCTTGTAGCAGTCGGTTATTACCTAGGGTACTGTCGTCCGTGTTGAGCTCGTTGCGGGCTGGCCCTCTCTTTACCTCAACTGGCCAGCCATACTTTGTCTACTGACCGACCTGCTTTGCCTGCCTGTGGTACACTCACTCCGCTTTACCTACCCCATCGCTAAACAGCACCACCTATCACATTATCCTTACCTTGACCTTGCTGCTCTGGGCTTTGCCTTACCTTGCCCAGGCCCCAGTCAAAGAGTCCCCGAGCTCTTCCAAACAAAGCGAAACTGAGCCGCCAGCCCAACTGACTGCGCGAAAGAAAATCATCCAAAAGCAGCAGCAACATCGAGGTGCCGCCCAGTGTGGCAGCAAATAATACAGACGAGCAGCACAACCACTGCGAAAAACACAAACACCGAGTCTGCGACACTCATTATTCGAGTCAATCGACCGCTGACCACGCAGACATTTACTTGTCTGCGACAACTATTTATCGACAACTGTACGGCGACGAAAACAGCAGCGCCCACAGACGACGACAGAAGCCCGAAGCTTACTTTGGGAGCAGCGCGACCCCCATCTCCCAGCGGTGGCGGTTCTGACATGTAATGACCAACTTTCCCACGTTGCGCACTTTCAACGACGACTACGACTACGATATTATTGGTGACATACTCTCCTCCGGCGCCGACGGCCCTCCGGCTGCCCAGAAACCGGAATACATGCTACAACATCGGGTTCAAACCAGGGCTCGTCCGTTACAGCCGCTCACCCCTCAGTAGTCCTAGAATCTCGGCTCTCCGCCGAGAAAACAAAACATGACAGATAGGATCCCTGCCTCTGTGCGGGTTTCCGGGCCGCCGAATAGCAACTTTCTAGTCGGCTATCCAGGTATTTCGGCAACTTTGGTAAGTTTGAGTCGTCTGTTCATATATCGTAGGCACGAGGCAGCATTTTGGTGGTTGTTTTGTTTGTTCACCACCAAGCCTCTTTCCCCTCCTCGTCAACTTTATCAGATGGGGCTTTGCGGCGCATGTGGGGTGCAAGTTGCCCAAGCCAGCCAATTTCTTAGCGGTTCCCCCGGGCCCTGCGTCGTTGCGATCCAGAGAACTGACTTCATATGTGCGTATGTAGCCGAGAATAGAAGGCAAAGTCGAGATCCGACCATCGCAGGGCTACTCCGCGCCAGTAGCCGTATCCCTGGTGCGAATATGTCTCCAGCGAAGAGAAACAATACATCCGGCCGCCAAAAATCTAGCCAAGAAGCATCTAGGCACACCGAGAAGAGACACGACAGATGTTGTGGGTAAAGAATTGTTGCTATTCCGATGCGCATCAGGAAGGGAAGCCGAAAGCGTGATTGCCATGGACCTGCCATTCGTATTATTCATTCCATTCGGTCGAGGAGGTGAAGAAACCAATCGAAGAATACCACCGGCATCGTTACAGCTCGCGAGCAGAACGGCTGAGACATACTACGAACTAGTGGTGACGGTTCAACAGGGAGCGAGCCAGCAGAACAAGTACGCGTTTCCTATACCACTCCAAAGATACGATACGTTGTCAACCTTTGGAATGTACAACCGGCCCGAGACGAAGATTGCCACTGCCGACAATATAGTCACATTGGGCATATCATTACCTAGATGGAGTTACGGCCCCATGGATCCCATTACCGTGTATATCAAGATTGCGCCGAACCTTGACTGGATGTCCAAGGCTAGGAAGGTCACGATACAAAAGATCACCTTGTCCATCGAGGAGGAGATCACGTATAATCCAGAGGGCGATGAGCCCACAAAAGAAATTAATAGGCTGCACAAGCATGTTCAGTCTGTTGGAACAAAGCTGCCAGAGGCGGGTTATGTCACCAACATGGGCGTCATTTTCCCACACCGAGATTTGAGGGACTCGCAGGGCATCGTCAGAAGGGGCCAGCCCGCTTTTCCAAATTACGAAGTGTCGTCTTTTACCACAACATCGACTCTTTACAAGATTGAGTTCTTCCTAAATATCAAGGTATTTACTGCAGCCCGAGATGTACCATAGCCAGATTCTAATTTTTGATAGGCTTCCATGACCTCAGCCAAGGATATCACCTTGCGGCAGCCCATCGTAATATGCCCCATGGACCATCAGGCATGCAAAGAAGAAATGGATGCCATTGAGCAAGCCGCCAAGGATGCTTCTTCTGTGGACCCGCATAATCCCATGCTGCCGGCGAGAAACATTGTTCTGGCGACCGACTACAACGCGCTCAGAACTCTAGGATTGTGCATGGTGGGTGGGCAGAAGAAGCCTTTGATCGAATGATGACCCTACCCACGGCCATTTAATCATTTTACTTGAGCCAAGTACATCAGCAGTACCGTCTCGTCGAGTACACGCTTGGCTTTGAGTGGGGCATGTCGAGAAGCATCTTAAGGTTACCATATAACCTTTGAAAGTGTGCTCACGTTGGCACATGAGCAAAATGCATCTTGGCAGCTAAATATTTGGCTCGCTCACTTCGCGCCTGTAGGCTCACTCGAAGCCAAATACTGCGTTAATTCTGGAGATCGTTTTGCCGTCATTACCGAGGCGCGAAATTCGATGCTGCCTTGAGGTTGAACTGGGGATCGTGTCTTGCCTTAACGGCAATAATGATAATCCTGCGGGGAGCGCTCCGCGAGCATACCGGCTTCCCACGTTGTATGATGACGGGACGATCTGAGATGCCTATAGATCAGGCGTTTTTCTTTTAACGGCATGCATTGGTCATCAATCACGACTAAAGGCGTTGTAAACGAATGTTTGCGGTTCAACAGCCATGAATCCGGGCGCGTATCTCCCACGCGCCGCTATCTTCTGGGAGTTTGGGGTTGAGTTATCAGGCTTCTGTGTTTGGGGGAGTCGATTGTGGACTTCATTACGATTAGGGGCGAGGAACGCTCTTGAACAATCTCGAAATCTTGTAGAGAATGGTTCGGCTGCCATTTGGAGTCAGGTTTGGCGATTGCAATAAGGATAAATTTGCGCATGATGCGCATGTGTATATATATCTCGCAAGCCCACGTGCGGGTCCGCTTTGTGCAGCGGACACGAATTCAATGAATAATCATGAGAACACAAGCTCTCTCTGTGCGTGTCAAACTCCCAGTTACTCGAACTATGGATCAAGTTTGGTACAGTTCCAGGTTGTCAAGGTGCAATAGCAAGATCCTACCGAGCCCGAGCAGGAACACACATCCGTGCTCTTCTAGGTGGAAGTAATCCCATTATTGACTAGTCTACAAATAGGGCAAGACGAAAATGTCAGTAAATATTTGTCATTGCTCTGCCCTATCCGACCGGTATAGTGACGGATACGGGATTAAGTACACCGTGATCTCAACGCTCGTTTTTGGCAGTGGTAATGTGAGAGGCCTCCTATGGATTTGGGCCCGTCATTCCAGTGGAACATTGAGTTATTGAGTTCTCTAGGTGCGCGCCAAATGGTTGGAGCAAAATACAGTGCTTGCTTGCTTGCTTGCTTGTCGCAACTGCCCGATCATTGCAACCACGGATTACCCTTCTAGGTAAATGAGTTTGAAAGGCAAACAGGATACGGCCTGGATATCATTTACCTTTTATTTCTTGGAGATTAACATTCGGTACTATAACTGTACCTTGGGATCATATCATATTCGTGTGTAAGTCAGCACATACGTAATTATGGACATTCTTCACACAAAGCTACCCCACCTATTGTCTTCTTCCCTATTGCCACGAGTCAGTGCTTCTTCACACAGAGTATACAATTCACACCGTCACTGGACCATGATTGCAATTTCCCATACGTGAGATGTTTCGACTGTGATGTATAAGTGAAGTTTCCTCGTGAACCTTCCAAGTTTAGTTCTTGGTCAAGCGAAAACACACCCTGGCCCCCTCCCAACCTCCCCTGAGCCCACCGCACCCCATCCCCCGCCCCCGTCGCCGTCTTAGTCCGAGATAACGTCCCCATCTTCAACAACATCCGGTGAGATGGCCGAGTGGTCTAAGGCGCTGTGTTTAGGTCAGGTTCGCACGTTCGAGTCTACTGTTTACCGCAGTCAGTAATGGCGTGGGTTCGAATCCCACTCTCATCAGGAAACCATGATCTCACGATGGAAAATGGTGTTTTCATATTTTTTCGATTTTTTCCCATCATGTATGATGCGATCCGGACGACATGAACTGAAGTTCGTGACCACGACGCTCGGGCCACATGACGCATCACTCAGTCGATTGGCGCTCGAGTTAGCTACACGTCAATCATTATCGTTTTGTCGTTGTTGCATTGTGTCATGTTTTGATGTTGTTGAAGTTGACGATGCTATACTCGGTATTCTCTGAGCGCGCCTTCCTTCTTATCCCAATGTTTCAGTCCCGAATCTGTGGTACCCCGCTAAGGGTGACCTATTTCTGGGTGCGCCCCACTACCTGTTAGCGTCCCCAGTTCCTGGTACTGGGAAGCGCAATCGGTACGTACTTTTTATACTAATACCTGCCTTCCTGGAAATTTCCATCCTTTAGAATGGCAATTTGTCTGCATGGAACATCACAAATTCTCATACCTGCTTACTGTCGTTTCTCACATACATTCGGTCATATATCAAATGTGTTTCATACGTCAGGGGCAAATCATTGTACCATGCGCGATGCACATCAAAATAAAAATGGACTCGTCCCTGGTGGTCCATTTCTGCGTAGCATCAAGAGACACGGTCTCAATCCAATAGCTATCACGGACGCTATCAAAAACAATCACCCATATGACGCTTCCCTGCACCGGTTAGTTGAATCAGAAGGAGACCCTCTGCCCTTCATTGCCCGAAAACCCTTCTGAAAAAAAGTCCTGAGGGGCCGAGCTCTCCGCACTCCTGGATGTGACTGTGAACTAGGTTGACAAGCCTTGAGAAGACGTCGGGAATTGCCTTCTGCTTGTCTTCGGGATAGAAGGCTCGTCATGGATGGGCACATCGTAAGGTTGACAATATTTATGTACGAGAAATGCCAGCCTTGTTGTGCTTCCGGCACGTATGCGTGAACGACTTGAGGGCTTGTTGTAGCTGCGGACGAATACGACTGTCTATTGTGCAATACTCATAACAGGAGCGCCCGGCCTGTTGACAGCCTTCCATAGCTCATCAACTGCGGTCATATCCAACTGTCTCAGCCGGGGCAGGAGGTTCGTCATCTTTATTTCTAAAGAGGTCGCAGCTTTCTTGCCTTTGTGGCAGATGGAAACGGCCACATCGAAGCTCTAATTGCTAATATGTGACCTGAGATAGAGCGACTAATCGCATGAAAGCAGAAATCCCTGGACAGACTCCGCTAGAAGCGGTTGAGTGTTCACCTTTCCCCAGATATACTGCTAAGACCTCATGAGGGCTGATCCCCTGGGAACATGAATCGATGCAGGGTAGACCTCAAAGGAACATGACGCAGATTTTCAACCAGCCATGCAGGGTATCTGATCGATCGAAACTATAGAATCAGCAGCAGCATCAGCAGCAACGACAATAGATACCATGGCCTCTTACGATGTTTATTGAGCCAGAGAGGAGGACTGGCTGTGCGTGGAGGCAAGGCGTCGCGCCGACGTCAGAACTTTCTGATACTGACCGCCAGCGCGATCGCCCTATGAGCTGGTAGATGGAGTAACAAGCATTATGATTTATCCGCGAGGAGGTATTAGTAACTAAGCTCCGCCAGTGGGCACCACCCAAGGAGCTGGAACGCATGGAAATTACTAGCAATGACACTCTACTTGGCCAAGTGTACATTGAAATCGACCGTGTACTGGCGCCCCCCAGCCAAAGGGCCTTCAGCTACGCCAGTTGGAATGGCAGGCGCGGGTGGTAGCAAGGATGGGTACAAATAGCTCTTCGGAGCAACAAGCTTAGCTATTTTCTCTCCAGCATGATTACAACCACTCCTCCAGGTTTCTGGAATCATTCCTGTTTCTCACCGATCCAGGACCAGCCTTCATGTCAGCAGAATTTGGGTCTTTTGTTGACGGTCAAGGAACATCTCTCCTCCTGGCACCGTCAGGTGCTCACGTTGGGATCGTTGAGGTATGCAACAAGATCACCCAAACAGTCATTGGCAAAGCTGTAATGCCACACTCTCAGGCAGGAAGCTGGGTCTCTCAGATCCCTCAGACCTTCAGAGTGATGAATGCTAGATATATAAAGAGGCTGGGACATAATCCTTTGGAAATCATGTTCGGTCGCCTTTCCAGAGGAGCACTGGAGGCAAAATTCCCTCCTGAGAATCATGTACGCTCAGCAAGCTCTAAGCTTTAAGCACGGCGCGGTTGGCGCGGGCGCTGGGAGGGCCGCCGGCAGGAATGTTGGTGATGATTTTAATGATGATGTTCGTTGTATGTGTATGTGTTGTGTAGTTGATGTAAATTACTACTGAGACTACACACAAATTAGCAGAAAGAGCGTTTGACCAAAGTCAAACATTGGACCACATATTGTCTTTCAAAATTTTTTGATTTTTTTTTTGTTTCTTTCTATATTTACTATAAATTCTAAATATAAACGTATTTTAGATTTTTCTTTTCTTTTATGCTCTTTTCATTTCCAAAGATTATTTTTAGGCTCTATTAGCAGAGTTCTATGTGATTTGTGTACCTCAACTCCTTGGCCTGGCCTTGAGCTTGGCCGAAGGCTGACAGTTTTGAAAGCATCGTCCTCCATCTCGTCTAGCCCTGCTGCTGATTCCATGAGATGGTCTCTTGGGTACCACTGGTCGTACATGGGCGAGCTCCCTTTCCATAGTACCAGGAATTCCCGGCTTGGCCGTCCCTACTGTCGGCTGATACGTCCACCTACCAGTCGTTCGATCTCGTAGCTTTCCCATTCGTCGTCGTCTCCCTCCACCGCAATGCGTCCTGGCAGCGGCTGTCGTCTTCGGCCGATTGGGATCGTATTGGCAGTTTTTATTTGTCGAGAGACAGCTATTTCTGTTCTTATTTTTCGCGCAGATGCTGCTCGGCCTCGTCGCCATCCGAATCAGCAGCGCTGTCCTCGTCGTTGTCTATGCCGAAAAGTGAGATGATGTTTCTGGATCTCTTTGAATGTTGCGACTTGGAAGCCTTGCCCTCGAGGGACTTCATGGATTTGGCGATCAGTTCCTCGAGCCCATGGGGTAATGCGGGAGCACGGAAGTTGCACATCTGGTATTTCTTGCTGAACCGTGTCCAAATCAGACGATCTTCTGATGGGAGTTTGGAGGGGGGAACTGAGAGAGTGAATTCGCGTACAAATATGATTGGCCCTAGCACGTTGTCCGGTGCCTCAGGTTGGCTGCCATGACGATCGCCAGGAAAATCATGTCCCTAAGGAGCTTCTATCTTATTGCATTGTTTTGATATTGCTACATGACAGACGCACATTTGAGTTCTCGCACACCTAGTGAGATAGACGATCTTCATATACCATGAAAAAGCTTCTTGAGACTACATCTATTGCAAAGTCTCATTTTGGTCCTCCTTTCATCGCTTTCATCCATTTATATACATCATAAAGTAAATTGAAACCTCAATAATATTTATATTTTCCATTTCATTATCAAACCATGGATGTCACCAATCAGACTGGCAAGATTGAAAGCAAGGAACTGAGCACAAGATAAGAGAGCATCTTAAGTCAGGGTAATTGTTACTTTATTGCGTTATATACTGTATCTCGTCACCCAACCTTCACATACGACCATAGACACAAGAAAACTCGGCATCCCGTCCGCTCTGCCCTAGATAAGCTTGTGATCGCTGGATTAGTACTCAGATCGGTGACGGCTGGGGAATCCCCGGTGTTGTATGTTTTTGATGTTCCCTTCTTTTTTGAGGCGTTGTTGAATGGCTGAATTAAGTGCTTTGCCTCATTTATGCAACGTTGTGGCTTTTCGGCACATGAGAATAAAGTGTGGTGGCTGCGGAACAAGCGAGTGACTTGGATTGAAATAGCAGTAACACAAAATGAAAATAATCGGGAAGCTTATGTGAAATACCTAGGTAAGTGATTGTCAATGTCTGATCGTCGTGAGTAAGTGCATCTGTACGAATTGATGGCCATGTCCACTGTTGCTATTGGGGATGGGTATGTTTGAGATAGACTAAGAAGGTCATTGCGCAGGACTTTAAAGAAAGCATTTTGACATTAACATGGATTCCCAGAGAAGCGGGTTTGTAAAAACATTGGACAGGATGCTCCAGACCATGTTCACCAAAACAATCAACAGGGATCCCCCTGGGCGGCGAATAGATCTGAAGCAGCGTTTCATTCATTACATAACTTTGTTCGTAGGAGGGCCTTTGACAACCTCGATGTAGCTGATAATTCGTTACTTTGAATGATAGGGAACTTTCCCCTCTTTCCGGTCGACTGCAGCTATCTTGGTGAGTTCTCCATTCAACTCTTAGTACCGGCTGCCCTACTGAGGAGTAGCAAGAAGCTCCAAGCAGTGCAACAGTACTCGCAGCACTATTCGGGCTCGTCCAGAGCAAGAGCCTGCCTAGTGGTCGAGAGCATCCATATGCTGATCCACCGCGTGCTGGCTACCGTAGTAGCGGTGGCATGTTTCGCACTCAAAATCGGGCATTTCGTGAAATTTGGCCACCACGTGCTGGTCGCGAGATTCCCACGTGATAGTCTGGGAAAGGAGGAAAGTTGCGGAGTCTACTATCCAGAGATGTTCGAGGATGACGTCGAATAGTCAACAGCCTGAAAGCGTTTGTTGGTAGCCTTAGAGAGGAGGAAAGTCGTGGAGTCTATGATCCAGAGGTGCTAGAGGATGGCGTCGAGTAGTTCTACAGGCAGGTCTGGAAGATTCGGCATGGTGTCTGTCAAGACGTCTCTTGAACTATTGAAGTTCGAGCTTTCTTGGTTCTTCCGTCTTGCTGATGTTGACGATTACAAAAGGCTTGCATACTATATGATGCGATGGTCTATAGAGTTATGTTTGAGAAGTAGATACACAAGAGGTGAAGACGAAGATGAGACAAAAGGATGAACAGGAAAGAGATATTCCCAAAAAGAGAGAGTGTGTGTGTTGATGCTTGGAAAAGGGAAGATTCCCTCAGTGGTGCAGGGAA